AGTTTATCATACTCTATATTATCGGATGTGGCTAATATAAATTCGGTTAAAAATGGTAATTTATACTTTAATAATGTATAGTCATAACTTTGAAATCTAAATAAATAAAAAGTATGGCATTTATCAACGTAATTTAATCCGCTCTCGATTGTAAACTCATCCTTGCTTTTCATAATTCAATGTTAAAAATCTGTGTTCTTCAGAAAACAAAAAAAATGATCTTCATTTGTCCCCTATAGAGATCACGTATGTGTTTTCTGAAGATTTGTAAAACAAGACTCTACATTTTTCTGAAGAACAAGACTATCATTCTACAAGTTTTTTGATCTTTCTAGGGGACAATTGTTCTTCAGACAACCCATTTTTTAGGTAACTACTGCAAATCTGACGAACAAAGTTAATGTTCTCTGAAGAACAAAAAATGAAGCATCCTTTTCCAATGACAATCGTTTTGTTCGTGTTTGTTTCGGACATTTCTCGCTGAAAAAGTGATTTTTAAAGAAAAATATTTTTTTTGAAAATTTTTCTTTTTGTTCTTCGTCGGTAATTTAGAACCTATTTTTTAAATTTAGAAAGCGATCTGCCTGACCGAAAGTCTAATCTATCTCCTGTAAAACTAGAAAATAATCTTGAAAATCATGCGGAATGTAGACAATATTGAAGAACTCACACATCTCTCATTTCGATAGAATGTTTCAATTGGTGACTGAACAGAAGAATACAAAGTAACGTAAAGAACAAAAATGAGCTGAAAAATAAAAATATTGTTCTTCAGTTTCTGAAGAACTTCTTTAAGTTTTTCAGCAAGTTCTCTAAAGAACGGAATAACAAAGATTTTTAACAGTGTGAAAGAACGTCGATCTTTCTTTAATCTTCCGTTTCATTACAGAGTTATTACATTATCTTATAAGACAGTGATAAATATCGATTTTTGTATATTTTTAGGAAGTCTACGGTGGAAACACTCTGTTCATCATGGATCTTGATTCGATTAAGCCACCAGATTTTGAAGCGATCGATATTTCCGCTTACTCGAATTTCAACAGCGAAGAGGAAGTATTACTATCAGAACACAACTGTTTTCGCGTGGACAAAATTGAGAAATGCAACAAAACACAAAAAGATTTGATTTATATTCTCATCAGTGATCCGTATGCCTACAGTTAGTGAATCACAATTATGCATATGAATTAGACACTCAGTAAAAACAACTGCGGAAAGTTCTAAAAGTAAGAGCTGATTATTGCCGTTCCCGGTGAAAATATCCGACGAAATAACGTAAAAGCACCGGTCACCATGTGGACTGGAAGAACTTTGTGTTGTGGGGCGTGATAGCAACATCTACCGCTTCTTGGTCAGGGAATCGCTGGTCATTAGAGCGTATGAGCCTCGAATCAATCGAACTACCAATTCTGTGCCTCTCCTGGTCTTTCCAGAAGAATTGGAACGACACTTGGTTTCTGACCTGAATGGATAAACTCGCTCTCGTCCTCTCTCGTCTCTTTATCGAACGAGTAGAACGAAGCGAGGAGCAAAGGAACGAAGAACAAGAAGAACAACGATGAAGACAACGACAGTAACAACAAAAAGAGAACTCACGGACGTTCGTTCAATTCATGTCGCCGGGTATCCAGCGAAACGAGATCGAACATTCGTCACCATCTGAACACGTGTTTTCCTCTCCATGGTCGTGTCTATCTTTCCAGCTCTGTTTAACATCTCTGGTGGGAGTGCGATTGGTTCTTTTCGTTCACTTGTGCTGTAATTCTTCTTGAAATCGGCTGCATACATAGCCGAAACGTCGAAATAAACATGCTCGTCACAGCCGTTGTTACTCTCTCATTCACTTTGAGACTTCTGCCCTTCAACGAACACAATTTTTGCTAAGTAGCATTAGTAACCTCAGCCAGATAATTTCACTTGCTCACAGATACGAAGGGAGAACAATGTACCTGACATAGGTTCTCATTAATCCTGTCTGTATGGATTTGAATTATGAATATGCCTCTAGCTGCGGTTAGAAAAATGAGCTCGTTTGCTGGAGTCGTAATGGAGATGTTCAACTTCATTTTGGTTTATCTAGTGCAGGGAAGCAAAGAACTTGACAAATAAAATAATAACCGGTAACAGGAACAACTAGTTCTTCATAATGATAATACATCATAGAGAAGGTAAATATATTGTTTATTTATCGTAAAAATGTGTGCGATAATGAAAAAACCAACAGATAATAGCACCACTTTTGTTTTCAGTTTTATTTTCCTTTTCCAGATGGTCTGATGATTTCCGTGAGTGCTGCGATAAAAAGCAGATAAGCCGGATCTGGAATCTCATTTGAGTATATTTCTACTTCATACTCTGCACGACGTCTATGGCTCAGACATTGAAGTTCAGCCAAGACTGTATCAGGAGGTTTGAAAAACGCTCCAGACACTTCATCCGGCTGACGAATGTATTTTAACGCTTGTCCATTCCATTCAATATCGACTTTATCGTTCAGCCAACCAAGAGGTGTATAAACCATCTCGCCTTTCTGCCATCGTTGAGTTTGATTATCAAAAACTTCCACAGCTACTTCAATCTCTTTACCATATGCATGATGCTGGAGCTTGCCCACGATTTGCTTCGATGGATATGCTAGAATGTTAGCACTAGAAAAATTATTGGATTCTATTTGATATACAAGATTATCCCTTTCTTCCGCGTAAATCGAGAACTGATGGTGTTCCAATTTAAATAAAGCAAAATCTGTGTCCATCAAATATAGACGTTTTGTACGCCGACAAATAGCCAGATGAAAGATACAGAGAAACAACAGTAGTCGTCTCATCATTATTGCATGTGGTAAATAAATGATCACATGAATAGTTGAAAGCTGAAAGTGCTGACTATTTTTCTCTACATTCTGTTAGTCATGTGTCAATGTTTACTGATTTGTCTTGAAGCATATTGTCGATATCTATTCATTTTGCTTGGAGAATCAACAAATTAATAAGTGTGTAACGAAAAGTATACAAAAAAGAAAGAAGAATACTATCACTTATAATTGCTACTTACCGAAGGCGACGCACTAGCACTACATAAGAAATAATTAAAATGTATTGCTCCTCTAGGCGGAAAGGATATGGTCAAGAAACCTAAATTCATCTGTGTCTATCTGTATCGCACTTCAAGTGACCGCTTAACAACTAATATGCGGCCTGTCCACGTAAGGGTAGACCTTACGCGGGAAAGTCGAACTACTTAATCGAGTGATGCCAACCAACGCTAGACATCAGGCAAGGGTGGAATCAAACCGAAAGCGCGTTGAAACTATCAAGTCATGTTTTTTTCCTGGACAAATCAGCTGAACAATGAGTACCTGCCAGATAATTAGCTAATGACGAGTCTAATTGTGAATCCTTGCGTTCAAGCTCTTTGGACAGTTGAATGTAGTGTTTCGACAGCTTCTCTGCGAAACAACGCCCTACATTAACCCTTTCACGGCGATGCTCATTTAGACAATCTTTATCAGTGATCGCGAGGAGATAAACGAAGGGGAAAATCGGGAGAAAATGAATCTACGGATCTATACGGCGACACGCAAAAATATAGTTTCAGGTCAATCTGATTAACCTGAGACAGAGCAAACTAATGTTGCCCGACTTCTCCACCGATTGTGAGCCTCTCAGATGGGGATGTGGTCAAATAGCTCGTGCCGTCGTGAACGACGTAAGCTGAATGACGCTATTTAAGGGATCTGAATCTACTCGAAGAAGAGAGTCTCACAATAACGGCCTACCGTATGATGATCACGTCATGTCCAGACGGGGATCTCCAATGTATTTCGAAGAAATCAAAAGAAGACCATCAAAGATGGAAAAACAACAACAACTGAAGATCAAAGAGACTCGAGAGATACGGAGAGAAAAACAACGAGAGGTCAAACTAACAGAGAGGAAAATCCCCAACGATCAGAAAGAGGAGAACATGACACAGGAAGAGAAGAGGATGATCGACGAAATTTCAGGCGTTTAGATGAAAAATTGGATTACTTTTTTTCGTTGTTTTTCTTGTGGCAGTACAGAAACAGAATCAGGTGGGACACTTGAATAATAATAGAAATAGAGGAAATCAAGACCACTAATAAAAACCAAATACAGATGTCGACAAGAAAAATTTCCAACATATTAATATAAATTCAAGCGTTGTTTTTCATTTAATAAACAACAAACAGTATGGATGAAAAGAGTAAACCATATTATACTCGTAGTGTTCAAAACTTCCTCCTGCTATGGCTGGATGGAAGTATCGACGGCATCAACAATCAAGATTGCCGAAATTCAATCGAAATGTTGCGAGAAGTAGTTAATACAGTCAATCCATTCACCAATGCAGATGAATTTATTGATTTCATTACCGACACAAATGAAGTCAAGATCTTCTTGATCGTCTCTGGAACATTTAGTCAGATCATTGTTCCTATTGTGGAGGACATTCATCATGTAAGTGATGTTTATATTTTTTGTAAGAATAAGACTCGTTATGAACAATGGGCGAAACAATGGTTCAAAGTGAAAGGTGTCTTTACCGATATCACACCAATTTGTGAAGCACTTAGACCAGCCGTCAAAGAATGTGATCATAATGTGGTCTCTATGAGCTTTATCAAGACAAGCGATGAAATTGCAAAAAAGAATCTTGATGAACTCGACCAATCCTTCATGTATACGCAGATACTGAAGGAAATTTTACTTACCATTGACTTTGAACAAATGCATATTAATGAATTTCATACTTATTGTCGCAACCAATTTGTCGGCAATACTACTGAATTAAAAAATGTCGATACATTCGAAAAAGACTATCGCAGCGAACAACCGATATGGTGGTATACATACCAACGCTTCCTTTATTTCATGCTAAATAAAGCATTACAAACAATGGAAATCGATCTTATTATAAAAATGGGCTTTTTCATTCGAGATCTCCATGAACATATTGCCCGCCTACACTTTGAACAACACGATGAACAGAAACATTCGACTTCTTTCACCGTATTTCGTGGTCAAGGTTTGTCTCCGACAGAATTTGACCAACTTATGGAAACAAAAGATGGATGACGGCATTCAATAATTTTCTGTCGACAAGTCTGGATCGAGCAGTATCCTTTCTCTTCGCTGAAAGTACTCTCGCTGATCCTAATTTAATAGGCGTTCTCTTTAAAATAAATGTTAATTCCTCAACACCATCGACACCGTTCGCCAACGTTGCCAACGTTAGTTATTTTCAAGAAGAAGATGAGATTCTCTTTTCCATGCATTCCGTCTTTCGTATTGGACAGATAAAACAAATTGATGGAAGAGATCGTTTTTGGCAGGTCGACTTGACACTAACCAGTGACAACGACCAACAACTGCATGCATTGACTGAATGTATACGAGAAGAGTCTTTTCCCCACCAAAAAGGTTGGTATCGATTAGGTGCAGTGCTGATTAAATTAGGTCAGTTTTACAAGGCAGAAGAATTATATAATATACTACTTAACCAGACAACTGATGAAGGTGAAAAATAGCAGTTATATCATATGCTAGGATTAGTCAAAAATGGCCATGGAGAATATACACAAGCAATTACATTGCTTGAAAAGTCACTTAAGATCCTTCAAAAAAATTGTCCTTCCAATCACCATGATTTGGCTACTTCTTACGGCGCTCATGGTTTGGTACATGACAAGATGGGCGACTACTCGAAAGCACTTTCGTATTACGAAAAAGCCATTGAGATTCTTCAAGAAATTCATCCTCCAAATCATTCTAGTTTAGCTAACTCTTACAACAATATCGCTGCGGTTTATGAAAACATAGGAGAATACGCAAAAGCACTTTCGCATTATGAAAAAGCATTTGAAATCTGGCAAAATACTATTCCTTCAAATCATCCTGATATGGCTACTTCTTACAGCAACATCGGTTTTATGTACAGCAAGATAGGGGAGTACTCGAAAGCACTTTCATATTATGAAAAATCTCTTCAAATTCGACAAAAAACTCTTCCTCCAAATCATACTGATTTCGGGCAGTCTTACAACAACATCGGTATTGTATATTACACAATGGGCGACTATTTGAAAGCACTTTCATTTTATGAAAAAGCACTTGATATTCGACGAAATACTCTTTCCCCAAATCATCCTAGTTTCTCTATTTCTTATAACAACATTGGTATTGTATACATGGACATGGGCGAGTACGCGAAAGCGCTTTCGTATTATGAAAAAGTCCTTGAAATTCAACAAAATACTCTTCCTCTAAATCATCCTGATTTGGCTGCTTCTTACAACAACATCGGTTTCGTATATGATAACATGGGCGAATATTCGAAAGCACTGTCATACTATGAAAAAGCACTTGGAATCCTTCAAAAAAGTCTTCCTCCAGATCATTCTAGTTTGGCTGGCTCTCATGCCTATCACGGTTCCGTATATATCAAGATGGGGCAATACTCGAAAGCACTTTCATGTTATGAAAAAGCACTTGAAATCCTACAAAAAAGTCTTCCTTCAAATCATCTTGATTTGGCTACTTCTTACAGCAATATTGGTTTGATATATCACAAGATGGGCGACTACCCCACAGCACTCTCGGCTCATGAAAAAGCACTCGAAATTCGAGAAAAAACTCTTCCTCCAAATCATGTAGATTTGGCTTCATCGTACAATAGTATCGGTTCGGTGTGTGACAAAATGGGCGACTACTCGCAAGCACTTTCGTATTACGAAAAAGCACTTGAAATTCGACAGAACACTCTTCCTCCAAATCATCCTGATTTGGCTACTTCTTACAATAACATCGGAGGGGTGTATGACATCATCGGCGAATACTCGACAGCACTTTCATTTTACGAAAACGCACTTGAAATCGTTGGAAAAACTCTTCCTTCAAATCACCCTGATTTGGCTACTTTTTACAACAACATTGGTTTGCTGCATCACAATATGGAAGAGTATTCAAAAGCGCTTTCGTATAATGAGAAAGCACTTGAAATCCGAGAAAAAATTCTTCCTTCAAATCATCCTGATTTGGCAACAACATTGGCGTGGTGTATAACAAGATGGGCGAGTATACAAAAGCACTTCCATCCCATGAAAAAGCAGAGAGGTCAAAACATTGAGTTTATACCTAATCTAGAGCAGCTAGAGAGGCTGGAAGGATGAGAAGAGCTACACACTCATATATATCTATAGGTGGATTGCGGGATGTAAATGTGACCTTGATATGTAGATACAGATATCAGTACACATAATCAGCCTTTCTGGGCCTTTCTAGGCACCTCAGGCTCTCTAGCCATTCTAGACTCTCTAGCCTTTCTAGACTCTCTAG